TAAGCCATCTCTCCAGCCCCTTAACAGTATAAATTTTAAGCAAATAACTTGTTATATTTGAATATAAGCTAATGTCAAAGTTGTTCATTGATGGTTGACATCTTAAGATCTGCTTAAAGTTTGATTAGCAACTGAAGGTATTAGATATAATGAAAATATTTATATTACACTTATTTTATTTTTTAAATTATTTTTATTTTATGTGTTGAGTGTACTGCCTGCATGTGTGTAAGTGCACCTGTGTTGTGCAATGACTGTGGAGGTCAGAAGAAAGTGTTGGATCCCCTGGAACTGGAGTTATGAACAGGTTGTTAGCCACCAGATGGGTGCTGGGAATTGAACCTGGGTCCTCTACAAAGGCATTTCAAAATCTTTAGATCTGGGGCTGGAGAGATGGCTCAGCAGTTAAGAGCACTGACTGCTCTTGCAGAGGACCCAGGTTCGATTCCCAGCACCGACATGGCAGCTACAAACTGTCCTTAATTCCGGTTCCAAGGGAATCTGAAGCCGTCTTCTGACCTCCACGACATGCATGACACGATGCACTCATATACACGCAGGCAATACATTTGTACACACATATTCGTATACAATAAAAATAATAGCCGGGTGTGGTGGCATATGCCTGTAGTCCCAGCACTTGGGAGGCAGAGGCAGGCAGATCTCTGTAAGTTCAAGGCCAGCCTGGTCTACATAGTGAGTTCTAGGACAGCTCAGGCTACAGGGAGACCCTGTCTCAAAAAGACCAAAAAACAAAAAACAAAAACAAGAAGCAAAAAAGCTAAATTAAAGTCTGTTATTAATTTTTAAGTGTCACATAGTAAGAATAAGTTTTAAAACTTAAAAATATTCCTTACCCTTCCCAGCCACAGAACTGATGACACTTTTGCTGTACCTTTAGATATGTTTTCTAGCTGATTTGTTGGATATGCTGAATGAAATAATACCATTGTTGTTCTTGGTAACTATATATTTTGTTATAAATCTTCTAATTTTTTTTCTTTTTTGGTCTTTTTGAAATGGGGTCTCACTAGGTGGACCAGGCTGGCCTTTATCTCATAGAGACCCGCCTGCCTCTGCCTCCCAAGTGCTGGGATTAAAGGCATGCACCACCACACCCGGCCTTATAAATCTTCTAATTTTCTAATAAAACTTTTAAAGTTTTTGTTTTGTTTTGTTTTGTTTTTGAGATAGGTCTTGCTATGTAACCCTGGCTAGCCTGAATTCTATATGTAAACGAGGCTGGCCTCAGATTCATAGAGTTCCACTTGTCTTTAGTGCTGGGATTGAAGGCATGTACCATCACACCAGTTTAAAATAAAAAATCTTCAGATTTTATGAACAATCTAGTTTTCCTGAGTTATCAAGTTTAACATCATAGATTATAACAGACACAGATAACACTTGATTTAAACACCAAAAAATATTTCCATTAAATAAAAACTCAAGCACTTACAAGTTTTACAATAATGGAAAATCTTGGGACACCAAATGTAATGTTAAGTCCTAGAAGACTCTCGAGACTGGAGGAATGAGAATCAGTACATGAAACTAAAAGAAGTAGTTCTCAAGCCGGGTGTGGTGGTGCACGCCTTTAATCCCAGCACTTGGGAAGCAGAGGCAGGTGGATCTCTGTGAGTTCAAGGCCAGCCTGGTCTACATAGTGAGTTCCAGGACAGCTGGGGCTATAAGGAGACCCTGTCTCAAAAGCCAAAAAAAAAAAAAAAAAAAAAAGCAGTTCTCCATTGCTAAATATGAAACCTGACACACAAGGAATACTTAGATTAAGCCATAATGATTTAAGAAGTTAAAACTAGTCAAATTCCCCTTGATAATGAATCTTCCAATTAGCCATTTATCTTATCTTTAGAAAACTTCCCTAAATTTATCCAAAGTAAATATAATTCAGGAGTATATGAATAATTGCTATCATTACTTATGTTAATCTGGATTTTAAAGCTCAAAAGAAAATTCAGTAATATCTTTTGTAATATAAGATTTTCTTAACAATAACCACAAAATAATCTCTATTTTTCAACATAAGTGTCAATGTGCTGCAATTAAACTCAATGACACAGAGAGTACCTATTTTCTATCAGATCAAGTCTCTTCAAAAGCATAATATGAGACATATTTCTTACACTGAAATCCTAAACTATCATTTTTTTAAGGAATTAAAAATAATATTAAATAAAAGATACTCTTCCATGATAAAGGTGTAGAATCTCAAATCTTATTATGATAACCATTCAAAATACCAAATATAAAAAACTCCAGTGCTCACTGGCACTACAGAAATATCTAACACTTGTATGATTCTACTGCATAAAATTGTTTGCTACACTACAATATTAGTGACAGTACAGCATTGTTAGAATGCCTACTGAACGTTACCAAAGATCCTTTTGGTCCATGGAAAGCGATGGTAAATCTTCCTAAGAAGCACCGGCAGCATTCATCACATTTCAGAGGGAGTTATGGTCTGTAATGACCCACAACAGCTCAGCTTCACTGATGTGGTAAAGGCCCATAATGACTAAGCCAGGTAGGCCTTAGTTTATCAGACTATTCACTTTATACTGTATTATTCATGTTTTCCCTTTTGCTATGTACAGTTTAAAGCAGTTTTCAAATTTACCAGCAGAGTAAATGTTTTAACATTATTGTTCAAAACAAGTTAGAATGATTCAGCAACTAAATCTCAAATCTAAGAGCAAGAAATGCAGCTGATTTTTCCCCAAAGCAACCAAAACCTCACTCAATAAAACCCACTTCAGTGGCCAGAGAAACACAGTATTAGTTTACATCAAACAATATCAAGAAAGCATATGTTATGAAAATGGCCATCTGAAAAATAATTTAAAATAAATGATATAAATCATGCACAAATTTTGTGATTTTTGCTGTTCCTTTTCAGTAGAGAGAAAGCACCCACATTCACTAAATTTTAGTAGGTTTATAAGTAACATTTTAAGGACACTATTTTTCCAAGTGTCCTTACATTCTAAAATTGCTTTATTATTACCTACAAACAATAGATAACAGAGCCTTACCTCTGCTCTATTCGTTTTTGCTAACATCTACTCACAGCTTGAATGAAACGTTATAATATTTATGAAATTAATCACTGTAATATGAGCACTATTTACTATTTTAAAGCCACCCTCTGTAACTTCCTCCAAAGCTCTTTTTATCCTCTTTGTTTAAAATTTCAAGGGTATATTTTGAGGGATAAAGAAAATGCATTCTAGAAGGGACACCAATTAAAAGTATTAGCAAAATAAAGAGACTAACCTTTTCAGCATTTGGCAATATAGCTAATGTTAATTAAAAAAACAAAAGCAAATCGTAGACTGCAACAGTTCACACCCTGAAAATGTGGCCTATTTACCCTGAAAGCATATAATCTAAAGCTAAATACAGATAAAATAAAAATATTACATCTAATATTCAGTCTTTAAATCGTGAATTTTGCCAGTGTCTCATCATTGTCATTCCAAAATCTCTTATTTTTCAGAAAAATAGCCTTCATCCTCTAATAGTCTAAAAATAGATTCCTACTGTCTTTTTTACAAGAAACAATTACGCTTGGTTATGAGCCCTACCACATCAGCCATATCATCAACACCTAAAACTCTGATTTAATCCCATTTCTGGCAATCAAAATGGTAACTAAATATTAAAAAAAAAATCTTACCTATGTGCTGCATTCTCTTTCAAATGCAAAGTGGTTAGATTCCCCTTCAACTTAATCAGTACAGGGTCTGGACATTTTTCAGTCTGACTTGCAAATATTTGCTCTCCCTCTTAAGGCATAGCATCCGCAGGGTTATACAGCACTACTTACATTCTCTTCCACATAAAAATCAGACATTACATGAAAGGAAAAGAAAGACAGCCCATTTCAAAGCATCTGGCAAACCTCCATTGGCAACCTGCCAAGCCTCTGCTAAACCTTCCTGTCTTTCCGAGCATGCTCACTTAAAACCAACAGCATGTTACTATGGCAACTCTGTAGGCAGCCTGTAAGTATGAACCGCCATTCTGATTTCAGAGTGTAAAAAAAAAAAAAAAAAAAAAAAAAACAAATACTGCAGGGGAAGTCAAAGGAAAGAAAGAGCATCTATCCTTCATCACGGACAAATATAATCACGGTATTTCAAAAAATTCACACTGTCCATATAAAATAGAAACAAGCATTCAACATTTTTTCCAGGCAATTATTTTCCATGCTCACAAAGGTCCTCTTTAATAAATTCACACCCTTTGTTTTGCCCCTAAACTCTTTTTACCTCACAAAACCAAAAATGTACTAGATAATTCATCCCATTTAACAAAACACTGCTGACTAAGCAAACAATCATCATGGGAACAATGTGGTGCACCATGGATGGTTCCTATGATCATAGTATGAATGACATGGCAATATTACAAAGAAGGCCACTCAGACCTAAAAACACCATCCAAATCTTTTGTATGATTTATCAAGCTGCCAAATGAAATTTTCTTTGGGTTAAGTTACAATTTTTAGTCCCTAAAAGGTTTTGAAGTTAGGGGAAACAACCCACGTTCAAATCCCTGTTCTCCCCATTTTAGCTGTGCCAAGTGAAGAAAGTTAATGGTTCTCACTTCATCTTTAAAGTAGGATAATGACAATCACTTGACAAACTAACAGGTTAAAGGAGTTAATATATAAAAAAAATAGCTAAAAGTTACTTTTCTTTCCTCCTAGGTTATTTGGAAAAGGCTTCTACAAGAAAATCTGTACTTATGGATTCAACTTGAAAAGTACTTTTTCCTAACTTCTCACTAAAAATTAATCCTAATTTATACACCGAGTAATGAGCCCAAAAGCTTCAACTCCTAAATCAAATTAAGCTAAGAAATGTTTCTGACAAAAACAAACCACAGAGAATCTAAACAGAAGGAAAATATATGGCGGTATTTTTACTTGAGAGCAAGCAAACCGCTTCATTTTACAAACACGGAACTGTACTTACTGGCTCCTCTTCTTCCTTTTTGGCTTCTTTTTCCTTCTCTTCTTCGATTTCCTCAGCTGGACAGTCTTCATCATCACTACTGGATGATTCAAGGATTTCATTTATATCCATTTTCCAATTATCAGGAACAATTCTAGTTTTTAAGAAGACACTCGCTCTCTGTAGCCCTAAGAGGGAAAATGCACTTCAGCAGCTGCTATGGAATTAATAGCATGGAGTGATGGAAATGCATGGCATTCAGAGTCCAACTTCGAATCCAAATAGAGCCACCACATATAAAATGTGAAACTATTTCATGACATGGTATAACATAAAATTTATTACAAAAATCTGATTGTATGTACGCATTTTATTTATCTATTTTTGTGAGACAGAGTCCACTGTGTAGTCTAATCTAGTCTGGAATTTATGATCTTCCTACCTCTGCCTCCCAAGGGACAAGATAACAGGAGGTATGATACCAGGCAAATACTATTAGAAATATTAATGCAAAAACATACAAAGTTACTCACAGCAATGGTGACAGCATGCACAAGTCCCATGCAAGCTCAAACCAGACAAAATCCCAGCATAGACATGGGAAGTGGATAAAAAACCCCACCCAACCTAAAAAGTTTTGACAATAGATAGCTGCCGGGAGGGGCAGAGACAGTATCTTTCAAGCCTGGGAATCTGGGTAGATTAATAAGGCTCCAGCGGATGGACCCTATAGATGGAACACAAATTAGACTCTATAGGCCTTAATATGTTACATTAATATAAATATTAATATACTACATTTATATATATAATAGAGTACATTAAATTGGGCAGGGGGCAAAAAGGGGAGGAAAATCACAAAATTTCAATTCAAACACAAACTGGAGAGATGGCTCAATAGTTACTAGCACCTGCTTCTCCTTCAAAGGGACCCAGGTTCAGTTCCCAGCACCCACATGGTGGTTAACACCCATCCTTAATGCCAGTTCCCTCTTCCAGCCTCTGCAGGCATTGTACACATGTGCTGAACTTACATACATGAAGCAAAACACTCATACACATAAAATAAAAATATATAGATTTTTTTTTAAATCTCATTATTTTAAGTTAGTGTTTTTGTTTTGGGTCACATTCACAGCTATCCTGAGGCACATGCAGCCCATGAACCACAGGTGAGATACATGATTCTAAACAATTAAAATGGTACCAGAGAAGAGTTCAGCATTGTTTCATTGTATTCCATATACAGCTACATCATGAAATAATATACGGATTCGTCTTTCTTTTACCTGGTTTAGTGCAGAGCTCAGATTCTGGAAGACTGAGAATGTCTACTTCCTTAATATCCTTTCTTGCTATCGAGTAACTAATTACAGAGAACAAAGAGGGGAAAGACACTTATTAAATAAAAATGACCACTTAAGCAGTCCACATAAACTCATAAAATATATACCTCAAAATAAAAATTATTTTGCCTAATGGTGGTTTTTTTTTTTTTTTGAGACAGGGTTTCCCTGTAGCCGCAGCTGGCCTGGAACTCACTATGTAGACTAAGCTGGCCTGGAACTCACAGAGATCTACCTGCCTCTGCCTCCCAAGTGCTGGGACTACAGGTGCCACCATGCCCGGCTGCCTAATAGCTCAATCCTTAACAAGCATAACAGATAACAGAGGCAAAGCTAATATCTCCTGTTTTGAGTTCTACATACTCTAAATTTGAGAGTCTCCAATTCACAATATTTCCATCTATACAAACTTCCTAAAAAATATAATTTGTATCAACATGGTTATTTCAATACTTGTAGGTGTCTAATTCTTTTTTTTTTTTTTGGTCTTTTTTGAGACAGGGTCTCCTTGTGGCCCCAGCTGGCCTGGAACTCACTATGTAGACCAGGCTGGCCTTGAACTCACAGAGATCCGCCTACCTCTGCCTGCCTCCTGAATGCTGGGATTAAAGGCGTGCACCACCACGCCCGGTAGATGGCTACTTTTATCTTCTAATTTTTTGTTAATTTTAGTGAATATTGAATTTTTTTGTTTTTTTTTTGAGACAGAGTCTCCCTATAGCCCCATCTGGCCTGAAACTCATTATGTAGACTAGGCTGGCCTTGAACTCATAGAGATTTGCCTGCTTCTGTCTCCTGAGTGCCAGGGATTAAAGGCATATGCCACAAAGTCCAGCATCTTACCTTTATCTTTTAAACAAAGCAGATTAAACTAGGGAAATATTTCTAAAAGTCTGGTTTTTAAAATACTGTTTTTAAAAAGTGAAAGTAATTATTCCAGTAATATAAATTCTATTAAAAAGGTTTCAAAGCTCATATTATGAAAAAATGTGATAAAAATACAGAATTTTTCAATAAAAAATCTTTTACAAAATCAAACATGTCTTCAATATTGCTGTCACATATTATTGAGTTTCTACATTAAAACATTAAATAACAACTTCTGAACTAACTCAGCTCGTGAATGAGGTGCTTTTGTTCACAAAGTTTTGGTGAACAAAGTTTTGGTAGAGGCAGACTATCATGAGATCCATGTACCCAAGTTGTGTTACTTAGTGATTCATTACTCACAATTTAGAATCAATAAAGGATCGAACTAAACACTGGTCCCTTTTCACTGTGATGTCATCATTACAGCTGGGAGAGATGACCTGGAATATAAAATCAGATCCAATTAACTCCCCTTGCTCAGAAAAAAGAACATTATTTACTTAATTTTTTTAAAACTTTTTTTTGGTCTTTTTTGAAGCAGGGTCTCCCAGTAGCCCCAGCTGGCCTGGAACACTCTATGTAGACCAGGTTGGCCTCGAAGTCACGGAGATCTGCCTGCCTCTGCCTCCTGAGTGCTGGGATTAAAAGCATGCGCCACCACGCCGGCTTTTTTAACATTTAACCCAAGGCTGTGTGTAATGTTAGACAAGTAACTCAACTACTGAATTGTATTCCTACCCGAGTATATTTCTAATCTTTTTATTATATTTATTTATTCACTTATTTGTATGTGGGGGGAGATTCCTCAGGGATCAAACTCAGGTATCTGGCAGCAAACACCTTTACGTGCTAGGCCACATCATCAGCCCTGAGAATATATTTTTAAAAAGAATAATTTTGGATCTGATAATGTCTCAAATGGATTATATCAGACAAGAAATAGCTCAATTGCTAACAGTGCTCATTACTGAATTATTTACAAAAAGCTTTTTCAGCAAATTGGCTTTTTAGATATTTAACTTCTATATAGTCATTAGGTAATATGATAATGAAATACAAATTAAAATATCAGTTTAAAAATGAGGACTTATGGGGCTGGAGAGATGGCTCAGCAGTTAAGAGCACTGACTGCTCTTGCAGAGGACCTGGGTTCGATTCCCAGCACCCACATGGTGGCTACAATAGTCCTTAACTCCAGTTCCAGGGGAATCCGAAGCCCTCTTCTGACCTCTGCAGCATTGCATGACACGGATGCACTCACATATATGCAGGCAATTCACTCATACATATAAATAAAAAAAATAATAAATAAAATATTTTTTTTTAAAAAAAGAGGACTTATGGGGCTGGAGAGATGGCTCAGAGATTAAGAGCACTGGCTACTCTCACAGAGGATCCGGATTTGAGTCCAACACTCACATGACAGCTAACAGCCATCTGTAACTCCAGTTCCAGGGGAATCTGATGCCCTCTTCTGACCTTCACAGGCACTGCATGACATGGGTGTACCTACTCACATGCAGACAATACACTCATACACATAAAATAAAAATAATAAATAAAATAGGACTTATTCTAAGTAATAAGTCTGTAAAAGAAAAAAAAATGGGGCGGTAGAGAGATGGCTCAGCAGTTAAGAGCACTGGTTGCTCTTACAGAGGACCTGGGTTCAATTCCCAGCATCCACATGGTAGCTAACAACCATCCTTAACTCCAGTTCCAAGGGATCCACACCCTCTTCTGGCCTCAAATTGTGCACATCATGGGTGCACTTACATACATGTAGGCAAAACACTCATACCCATTAAATTTTAAATTAAAAAAAATTTGATTACAACCAGGCATTGTGATGCATGGACACCTCTACTCTCAGCACTCAGGAGGCAGAGGCAGGCAGGTCTCTGTGAGGCCAGCCTGGTCTACATAGCGACTACCAGGCCAGGTGGGGTACAAGAAGACTCTGCCTCAAAAAAACAAACAAACAAAAACACCCAAAACTAAATTTTATGTTATATATATATATAACATTTAATTATGTGTGTGTGCGCCATAGCATGTGTGTGGAGACCAGAGGGCAATCTGTTGTAGCTGGTTCTTTCCTTACACCATATGGGTCCTGGGGACTGAATTCAGGTTAACAGGCTTGGCAGCAAGTGCTTTTACCTGCTGAGCCATCTTACTGGACCAATAAGCTATTTTGTATCCAAACAATAACATTTCTGAATGTATAGTCTTTTCTTTTGCTTTACTTTTTGAGACAGGGTCTCAAGTAGCCCAGGGTGGTCTCCAATTTACTATGTAGCCAACGATCACCTTGAACTTCAGATCTCCTGCCTCTACTCTCTGAGTGCTAACATTATAGATGTGAGCTACCACACTTGGTATGAATGTATGAGCTGTGTTGAAAATGGCATATAATTTATTATTTTTATTTTATGTGCATGAGTATATTGCCTGCATGTATGTAAGTGCACCCATGTCCTGCAATGCCCATAGCAGTCAGAAGGGGTGTAACGGATTCCCTGGAACTGGAGTTATAGATGGCTGTTAGCTGCCATGTGGGTGCTAAGAATTGAACCCAGGTCTTCTGCAAGAGCAGCCAGAGCTCTTAACTGCTGAGCCATCTCTCCAGCCCCACAATTTTTTTTTTTAGCTAGGGCCACCTCTTTAGTAGGTCAGAGTAACTGTACAATTCATTATATTCTTCCTGGAAATAATTTATTTCCCCTGACAAACTAAAGGGAGGGTACTTTTCAAAATCATCTGACAGAAGTGATGGTGTGACAACCAGACATCTCAAGACAGCCAAACCCCTCTGCCTGCAGGGTCCTCTCTTGGGAAGACAGGCACAATGAAGATGAGTTAGGTCAAATGGCTAGAAAGAGTCAACGGCTTTAGTCTTTCTTTATGAATTATATAAAAATGGAAAACAGGGATGGTTCTGAAGCTTCTGAATGCAATTGGGAGGCACTCTGGTACAAAGCATTTCTGCTCCCAAGAGAAATTACATTGCTACAAAAAACTGGCACAGAATTCTGGTAAAGAAAGTCAAGAGTTTTAGTCAGTTCTGCACTAGTTTGCAACTCAATGCTTTTCAAGACCCATGGGAAAGAGAAAAGGGTGGGCAGAGGGGGCAGGAGTCTTCTGGCAAGTCTTCTGAAATTACTCCAGTCTTCAAAATATAGCTTTTATATTCTTTCTCTGTAAATGGGATTAGCATATTGCAACCAAAGGTGTTCCAAAAAGCCAGCATCCCAGCCCGAAGAGGAACCAGAAGGAAGGACTTTCGGCTTCCTGGGCCCGGCTTCCTGGGTCCATGGCAGTTCTCTCTCTTCAAGGGCCTCTTCCCAACTTGCAGCAGGGTGGGCTGGGGATTACCATGGCCCTAGGCCACTTCCAGTAAAACATATCCTGATTCAAGTACCAACTGAGTCTTAAAAGCTTAATTGTACAATTTTCTCAGAAAAATATCACATATTATAATTTTTAAAAATATACTTGAAAGCCAGGCATGATGGCACATGCCTTTAGTCCTAGCACTTGGGAGGCAGAGGCAAGTGGATCTCCATGAGTTCAAGGCCAGCCTGGTCTACATAATGAATTCCAGGCCAACTGGGGCTACAGGGAGACCCTGTCTCAAAAAAAAAAAAAAAACAAAAAAAAAAAAAAAAAAAAAAAGAGTCTGCATCTGTTTTAAAATGTGGCTGTCCAAAAACACTTAAGATCTTCCTTATCAGGGCATGTACAATTTTTATCAAAGCATTAAAAAAAATCTGGACAAAAATCTCTAATTTCTTAACTTTAGAAAGTAACAAAGGTCTTAATAGCATCATTAGTAAATAATCTTTGTATACTTTATTAGTACTTCATATTTTAAAAAACAAGCTGACCGAGTCGCACAAGACTGGAGTTGCTGAAGCATTCTCACTTGTGATCTCCCTTAATACTAGCCTCTCAATCAAACCCAGGGCCTTGAATATAGCAGGCAAGATTCTATCACAGAGCTACACTCAACCATCAATACTACTGGATTATAAATGAGTTAAATTTAAACTTAAATAACAACATGTAGTTCATGACTATCGTATTGAACATTGTATATCTAGGTTTGGTTTTTTTTTTTAATTTTTAAAAATTTTCTGTGTATGTGTGTGTTGCCTGCATGCAGGTAAGTGCGCCCGTGTCATGCAATGCCGGAGGAGGTCAGAAGAGGCTGTTGGATCCCCTCGGCCTGGAGTTACAGACAGTTGTTAGCTGCCATGTGGGTGTTGGGATTCAAACCTGGTCCTTCTGCAAGAACCAGTGTTCTTAACCACTGAGCCATCTCAGCAGCCCCATATATCTAGAGTTTTAAATATTCTTATTGGTCAGTTTTTCAGTTTTTTAAAATTTTGTTTGTTTTTATTTTATGTGTATGAATGTTTTGCCTGCATGCATGAAAATGTACTTGGGTGTGCAATGCCTGCAAAGGCCAGAAGATAGTGTTGGATCCCCTGGAACAGGAGTTACTAAAAGTTGTTAGCTACCATGTGGATGCTTAAAACTGAACCCAGGTCCTCTGAAGTACAGCCAGTGCTCTTAATTGATGAGCCATCTCTCTGGCCCCAAGTTTGTCTGTTTTTTGACTTAGGTTCTCACATAGCCCAGTCTGCCTTTGAACCTGCTATGCAGCTGAGGATGCCTTTGAACTTCCGATTCTCCTCTGTAGTGCTAGGATTACAGACAGGGTCATTTCTTAACACTAAATGAAAATGAATGTCTTTTTGTTTGTGTGCTAGGTGCTGTAATTGTTAGTCTAGTAGAGTAGCTGTGTTTACCATCAGGAATTAACAGTGTAACAGAAGGGCAAACATAAGACACACAAAAAGAACAGGATGGGGGATAAGTACAGTGGTACCACCAGGCACAGGATAACATGAAACACCAAAGAGGAAGAATTGGGCCCATGCCAGTTAGGAGTAGATTCTTGTCACCTCCAGTCTTTCCCAAAACAACGGATCCAACCTAACTTTCGGCCTCATAAACATTCCTAAATATGCAGTTCAAAAGCCATTCTTTTGCAAACACCTCTGCAGAATGATGTTGTAATTCTTTCTGAAGACCCTTCTGCCACAGATGCAATTCTATTCTATTCTATTTCCTATTACCCCCTACTCTCGCCTAATGGCCAACCAATGTGGATTCTCAAAATACATAAAGCATTTTGTTTGTTTGTTGCTTTTTGAGTTCTCCCTGTAGTTCCACCTGGCCTGGAATTCACTGTAGATCAGGCTGGCCTCAGTCTCACAGAGATCCTTCTGCCTCTGCCTCCCAAGTGTTGAGATTAAAGACATGTGACACCACGCTTCGCTTACTACCCAGTATTCTTGATTCCAGTCATGAATATTCTCTCTTGTCCATCTCTTCTCATTCTGTCTCTGTATGTGTAGATTACAATGTGATACTTATCATTTCCAAAATTTAAAACATAAGTGAGTCTTTCCTTTCTACTATTCTCTTAATTCTAGTTTATGTATAGTATTTTAAAAAATTCTATATGGGGCTGGAGAGATGGCTCAGCACTTAAGAGCACTGACTGCTCTTGCAGAGGACCAAGGTTCAAATCCCAGCACCTACGTGACAGCTAACAACTGCCTGTAACTCCAGTACCAGAGGATCCAACACTGTCTTCTGACCTCCGCAGGCATTGCACAATATGGGTGCACTTACATACATACAGGGAATACACTCATACACATAAAAATAGTAAAGTATTTTTTAAATTACTATACAACTTCTGATTAGCATATACTGTTTTAGATATGTACAATAAAACTCCTTGAGGGTGGGGCTTGAGAGATTGCTCAGTGATTAAAAGCACTGGCTGATATTTCAGAGGACCTCAGTTTGATTCCCAGCACCTACATGGCAGGTAATAACCATCCATAGCTACAGTTCCAGATGATCCAACATCCTCTTCTTACCTCCAGAGGCATTGCATGACATGAGTGCACTTACATACATGAGGCAATACACTTATACACATAAAATAAAATAAATAAAATATAAAAAAAAACTCCCTGAGGGTAATGCATTTCAAGTCCTATACTTCCCTGTCTAAGGAATTTAGAACAAAGTCAAACTCACCACTATCCTTGGTTAATACTAATTAAGGAGGGACAAAAGCTCACAGGAGTTTGTATCATAGATGGGGCAGTTAAAAAAAAAGTGGCATAGTTGGTAGAGGGCTTCCTGGCATGCATGAAACCTTGGGTTCAATCTACAGCATAACATAAAACCGGGCATGGTGGCACATACCAATCCTACTTGAGAGGTAGAAATGGGAGGATCAGAAGTTCAAAGTCATCCTAGGCTACATGGCAAATCTGAGGCAAGTCCCTGTCTCAAAAGCAAAAGAAACTTGAAGAGCATTTACAGTGAAAATAAGAAAATAAGAGCTAAAGATAGACTAAAGCATTCATTAAAAGAAAATTCATTAAATTACTTAGGTAGACTCACTAAAGGTAGACTGAATGACTGATGGACTGACGATTGTGTGGCCCGTGCACAAGAATGTGTAGGTGCACATGTCCATGCTCATGGAAGGCTAGAACAAGGTATCTGATATATTCTACCACACCTAACTGTACCTCTCCTTTTCAGCTAGACCAGCGAGCCAGCAAGTTTTCAAGATCTGCCCCTCAATACTGGGTCCCTTATTAAATTTATTTTGTTGTTGTTGTCATTTTGCTTTGCTTTTTGAGTCAGGGTCTCCCTGTAGCCCCAGCTGGCCAAGAACTCACTACATAGACCAGCTGGAGTCGATTTCACAGAGGTCCACTTACCTCTGCCTCCCGAGTGCTTAGATTAAAGGCAGGGGCCATGATGCCCAGTGAACACGCCCAGTACACATGCCTGGCACTCCTTTATTTTGAGAAAAGCTCTATGATGCATCAGGGTGGTATCCAACTTCTAGCCTGGGGCAATCTTCCTGCTTCAGACTCCTAAGAAGCTGGGACTACATAGCCATGAGACACAATGTCTGTCTAAAGGCTTATTTATTTGTCTTTTTTCGACAGGGTCTCCCATCCCAGCTGACCTGGAGCTCACTACAAAGAGCAGGCTAGCCGTGATCTCAGAGAGATCTGCCTGCCGCTGGGATCAAGGCATGTGCCAACCACACCAGGCTTGACTAAACATTTTTGAAAATTGGACTAGTGAGGTAATTAATTATTTTTAAAGATTTCTCCTAAAAAGTTCTAAAAAAAATAAGTTGGGATTTAGTAAAGAAAGAATTAAGGAGCTAGGTATGGCAGCTCACACCATAATCTCATAACTTGGGAAGCTGAGGAGGCATGAGTTTGAGGCCAGCCTGTTCTGCACAGTGAATTACAGGCCAACCTGGGCTAGACGGTGATACCTTGTTTCAAAAAACAAAACTATAGCTGGGTGTGGTTGTGCATGCCTTTAATCCCAGCACTTGGGAGGCAGAGGCAGGCAGATCTCTGTGAGTTCAAGGCCAGTCTGGTCTACATAGTGAGTTCCAGGACAGCTGGGGCTATAGAGAGACCCTGTCTCAAAAAGACCAAAAAAAACCAAAAAAACAAACAAAAAACAAAACAAAACAAAAAAAAAACTATAACAACAATGAAAGAAGTAAGGAATGGTCTACATAAGGAGTTCCAGGACAGCTGGGGCTATAGAGAGACCCTGTCTCAAAAAGACCAAAAAAAACCAAAAAAACAAACAAAAAACAAAACAAAACAAAAAAAAAACTATAACAACAATGAAAGAAGTAAGGAATCAACCTACAGGAACCGAGGGTATAAAACAGTAACAGAATAGAATGAAAAGAGGCCACTAGACACATTTTAAGGGAAAAAAACTGTAAGCTCTGGATAAATGATAGGAGACTGGAAAGAAGGAAAACGGGATATTTGATGAGTTTTTGTGGATTTGACAGTTTTAATTTTCAATTTATTTGTTTTCATTTTGTGTGTATGAGTGTTTTGCCTGCATTTGTGTAAGTGCACACTGTCAGGCCATGGAGGCCAAAATAGGCATCAGATCCCCTGGAACTGGAGCTAGGGATGGTTGCTAGGTGCCATGTAGGTGCTGGGAACTGAACCCAGGTCCTCTGTAAAAGCAGGCAGTGCTCTTAAACACTTGAGCCATCTCTCCAGCTCCTGTTTTCATTTTTAAATGCACAAAAAAATCTTTATTAAGTTTGTAATACTTGGGGCTGTTCCAAGGGATCCAACACCCTCCTGTGGCCTCCATGGGCATTGCACAATATCAGTGCACTTACATACATGCAGGCACATACAATAAAAATAAGTAACTAAGGGGATGGAGAGAGAGTTCAGCAGTTAAAAGCACTGGCTGCTCTTGCAGAGGACCTGGATTCAGTTCCCAGCACCCACATGGCAGCTAACAACCCTCTGAAACTCTAGTTTCAGGGGATTTGACGCCCTCTTCTGACCTCTGTGGCATTGCACAACACGGGTGCATTCACATACATGCAGGCAATATACTCATACACATAAAATAAAAATAATAAAATATTGAAAAATAAATAATTTTTAAAAGAATTTAATACTGCCAAAATATCTCAAATCTTTTTTGAAAATCCTATTTTAAACAAAGACTACAGCTGATTCACTTGGCAAAGAAACCTCACTTACCAAAGCAGGATACCATTCCATCCTCTCAGCTGTAGATGTCACACCCACAATTTTTCCTAGTAACTCATCATTGAGACGCCGCTTGTCTTCATCCTCCTCTTCACTACTTTCTTCTTCCTTTTCATCTTCAGTACTAAGAGGTAGAACAATTTGATCATTATCCTAACATAAACAATTATTTGATATCATCAGAGTGGTATGACTTCCACACACTCAGTTCGCCTAAGGGAGCCTTTCCATTTTTACTGAGGTTGAGGAAATAGGCACATTCCTGCCCTATACAAATAGTTCCAGCCACCTATGCAATTCTGAGTTTACGTTATTAAGTCAGTGACTATATGGACTCAGGTGCCTATGTTATCCACCAGCTGGGACAGAGAAGCCTAATTATACTCCCATTAAGTACTGACTGTTATCAAATGCACTTAAAAAAAAAAAGATTATCTGTTTTTTAATGCCAGAGGTCAAATGATATAACTTCAATTTTCAAGTACAATATGAAAATAGTTGAATAAAATCACATGAGGGGCTCTATTCAGATGACTTGTCTGAGATAACTAATGTTCACTCTTAAGTGTCGATGCTATGCCTTCAGTTATATTTTTAAAAATGAAAATGAGTATGCATTTTTATTACTTCCTTGACGAATGCACATTGAATAATTTGTCACATTCTTTTTTTGGTCTTTTTGAGACAAGATCTCCCTGTAGCCCCAACTGGCCTGGATTTGCTAACGGAGACCAGGCTGGCCTCGAACTCACCGAGATCCACCTGAATCTGCCCTGAGTGCTGGGATTTAAGGTGCGTGCCACCACACCCGGCAATAATTTGATGCATTCTTAAAAACATCCCAAATATACAACAGCACTGTTGTTCGTGAAAGTACTGTTAGGTACTAAACGGCCTAAAGGCAGTTAGTGAGTGTCCTACCTGTTTATGTTTTCCTTTCTTCTGTTCCTCTCACAGACCTGTCAGCTATGAAATGCCACATCTTTCTTCATTGTCTACACTGACTAATCTCTCTCATCGTCACTTCTTTTTAAAATATTTTATTTATTATTTTCATTTTATGTGCATGAGTGTATTGCCTGATGCCCTCACACTGAGAAGGACACAACATTGGACACTTGGTGCTAGTGTCCAAAAAGTATGACCTGAACCTAGAAATGAGAAAAACATGAGGTAACCCCATACCAAAGAAGAACAGTCTACAAAACAACTTGCCTGTAGTCCTATAGGGACAGGAGATGCTCTGCAGGTAACTGGATCAGTTGGCAAAACCTGAAATACTGACTGTAGTACTTCAGCTCAGTTAAATTTTGAGCCACGTGATGCAGGCCTGTAGCCCAGCACTTCAGACCTCAGGGCAAGACTATCATGAGTTTGACTGTGGGCTATATATTTTACATACATGAAATTAAAATTTCTGATTATGACATTCACACTTTATTTAAAGGAAAAGGATCATGATGCCACTTCCTTTCAAATGCCTCAATAAAACAAAATAATAAAATTGACAACTAATTACATTATGTGTATAGAAAGAGAGGGAAAGATAAAGCAAATAGGACAAAAACATTTAAAAAATGGTGAATCTAGACAATGGGCATATGGACTCTCTTTGCATTAGTATGTTTGTTTAAAGTGTTTTTTAAATAAAAAGGTCAAAAACTACAAGTAATCCGTCAATAAAGGAAAATCACTTCATTTAAGGATTTGGCGAAGTGAGATGGAGTTGTGATACGGCCTGAGCAAAGTGATGGAAGAAGTGAAGGACGAAGCCACTCAGGGAAAATGTCTACCTTACAGGACCCTGGGAAAAGGCTACGCAATCAGATTTAGCCATACTGGGAAATCAACTGTTCAAGGTTTAAATAACAATCAATATAACATTAACTACACATGAGAAACTCACAGAGGAAGTGAGGACCTCCTTCCTCTGTTTGTCTTCTTTGCAATCACTGGAGTTCCGAAATGCTCTGGATTTGTTAAAGGAAGCTGGTCAAGTGTCTGTGTAGGAAACAGATGAATTAAATTCATATTTTACCTCCAAATCAGATGGTCAAAACCCAAAAATCCATCCCCACTACCCTACCTCACTCTCAGCAAAATGTCTCTCCCCTTTCAGGCAAAGAGAGGTTCGTCTCAGTGTTCTCTCATCACCATCATCAAACACTGTAAGAAGCAGATGAGAGCAGAGGAGTTACCTCACCAACTGAATAAAAGGCAGATGCTGACAAGGCTATTACTGCTATTTTAGAGCCTAGTATTTGGTTTTTGTTTGTTTTGGGTTTTTTTGTTTGTTTGTTTTCTTTTTGCAGGGTCTCTTGCAACCCCTGCTGGCCTAGAACTCACTACATAGACCAGGCTGGTCTTATCTCACAAAGATCCCCCTGCCTCCAGAGGGCTGGGACTGAAAGCGTGCACCACCACATGTAACTAGAGCTTAATATTTGTAAGAACCATTATTTGTTAGCTATTTTTCAAAACCTTCTAAAATGAATATAACACTTTTGATTTTAGATATCAAAAAAACACAAATTAAATGGCTGCTCCCAGCTGCTTAAGTGTCTCCACTTGCTTCAGTTCTACCACTGTAATCATCCTCTTAACCCATTAGCAGCTTAGTCAAAGCACAAAGATGAAATTGCCTTCAATCCTACAAGAATGAACAAAACCTGGTTTTTCAGATATTTTTGATTTATTTTTATTTTATGTGAGTATTTTGCTTGCATGTATCTAAGCATATCCATGCCATGCAAAACTTCAAAAAGTCAAAAAAAGGTGTCACGTTCCATGGAACTGGAGTTATGGGCAGTTGTTATTGGCTATGTGGGTGCTGGGAATCAAACCTGGGTCCTCTACAAAAGCAACCAGTGCTCTTAACCACTGAGCCTACTCTCCAGCCTCTCAAACTTGGATTTTAAAAAAGAAAGTTTTATGGATTTTTCTGCACTAGTTATCCATGAAGTATCTCTAATTTTCCCAAATCGATTTCTGACCATGCTATTTCTTATTTACATGATAACTTATAATAGAAGCACTGCTGCTAAATTCTAAAATTTCCAGGGGCTGGAGAGATGGCTCAGCGGTTAAGAACACTGGTTGTTCTTGCAGAAGACCCAGGTTCATATCCCAGCACCCACATGGCAGCTAACAAGTGTCCGTAACTCCAGTCCCAGGGGATCCGACAGCCTCTTCTGAGACAACACGGGTGCACTGACCTATATGCAGGCAATACACGCATACATATAAAATGAAGCAAAAAAAATTTTTTTTAAATTCTAAAATTTCCATAACTCAAGCTGGGGTGATAGTACACACTTTTAATCCTACTACTCTAAAGAGGCAGACACAGGCAGATCTCTTGTGAGTTCGAGGCCAGCCTGGTCTCTATATAGTGAGTTTCAGTCCAGGGAGAGCTACATAGAGAGACCCTGTCTCAAAATACAAACAAATCAATAAAATTTACAAAATAAGATTTCTGGAGCTGGAGTGATGACTCAGAAGAACACCAGTTGCTCTTGCAGAGGACCTGGGTTCAGTTCCCAGCACTTACAAGGTGGTTAACAACTGTCCATAACTCCAGTTCCAGGGGAACTGGACACCCTCTTCTGAACACTTCAGGCAGTGCATGACATGGGTGCACTTACATACATGTAAGGCAATATACTCATACACAAATAAATAAGTAAAATTAATTTTTAAAAATTCCATAATTCAAGTGTTTTCTTTTACTATAAAAGGATAAAGTAATTAAGGAGTTATTGATTTAGTATGTGAATGTGTGTTTATATGTGTATGCACATGCATGTGCCATAACCTGTATGTGGAGGTCAGAGGACATAAGGGAGTTGGATCTCCTCTTCTACCATGGCAGGTCCTGGGAATCAAACTCAGGCTGCCAGGCTTGGCAATAGGCACCTTTACCTGCTGAGCTGCTTGGGCTACCTCACCTGGTTCACAAAGATTTTTAAAAGAAACTAGCAGATGTGGCGGTATAGCCTGCAATCTCAGCATCTGCTCACTCGTAACAGCAAGAACCTCTCTCTTTTTTTTTTAATTTTTTGGTCTTTTTGAGACAGGGTCTCCCTGTAGCCCCAGCTGTCCTGGAACTCACTATGTAGACCAGGCTGGCCTTGAACTCACAGAGATCTTCCTGACTCTGCCTCCTGAGCCCGGCTAAGAACCTCTCTTAACAAACACAAAACAAAACCTAAAAAAGTAACATCATGAACACCCAGAAACTTTTTGAAAGTTTCTATTTTTATGACAAAATGATTATATTATTTAACTATAGAACTATTTCAAGAAATAGAAGGAATTTAATAATTTATCCCTAATCTCTCAAAACCTATATATAATATTTTGATGATTTCACATGTTGAATTCTTCAGATTGTACTGATTCTATCATCTAACATTCATAGTTTATTAAAAAGCAAATGCTCTTAGGGCTGGAGAGATGGCTCAATGGTTAAGAGCATTGTCTGCTCTTACAGAGGACTGGCACATACATGGCAGCTAAACACCATTTGTAACACCAGTTTCAGGGTGTCCTCTTCTGATCTCCTCCTCTGGCATTGCATAACATGGGTGCACTTTCCTACTTGCAGGCAATACACTCATATACATAAAATAAAAATAATAAATAATTTAAAAAGCAAATGACAGCCAAGCATGGTGGCACACGTCTTTAATCCCAGCACTTGGGAGGCAGAGGCAGGTAGATCTCTGTGAGTTTAGGGCCACCCTGGTCTACATAGTGAGTTCCAGGACAGCTGGGGCTACAGGGAGATCCTGTCTCAAAAAGACCCCCCTCCCCCCAAAAAAACAAGTGCCCTCAAAGACAAACAATTGTCCAGGACTATGCAAAATTAAAACACAAGAAGTCAAAACCCTTCAGATAGTTAAATACAGTCAATAGTGTTTATGCATCTTATGAAAGAACACATTCACAAGAAAACATACATATGCTAAAATGGTTTCTATTACTGGTGGTGTATTCCAGCATCCCACAGGGAGGGCTGAGGCAGGAGCCTAAGCAATATGAAATCTCAAAAAAGACAAATATGGGGCTGGAGAGATGGCTCAGCAGTTAAGAACACTGGTTGTTCCTGCAGAAGACCCAGGTTTGAATCCTAGCACCCACATGGCAGCTAACAACTGTCTGTAACTGCAGTTCCAGGGGATTCGATGGCTTCTTCTGTCCTCCACGGGCATTGCACAACATGGGTGCATGCCTACATGCAGGCATAACACTCATACACATAAAATAAAAATAATAAATAATTTTTTAAAAAAAGACAAATACATGGGGCTAGAGAGATGGCTCAGCGGTTAAGAGCACTGACTGCTCTTGCAGAGGGCTTGGGTTCGATTCTCAGCAAACACATGGTGGCTACAAACCATTCTTAACTCCAGTTCCAGGGGAATTTGATGTCCTCTTCTGTCCTCCGTGGTACTGCATGACATGGGTGCACTCACATACATGCAGGCAATACACTCATACACATAAAATAAAAATAATAAAATATTTTTAAAAAAGACAAAATACAACCTCCAAACAAAAATAAAACAAGGGCCATCGAAATGGCTCTGCAGATAAGAAATCACTGAGAAGGCTTGACAAACTGAATTCAGTTCCCAGATCCCCACAGTGGAAGGAGAGAAGTAACTTCTAAAAGTGGTCCTCTGACCACCATGTGTTGTAGCACATGCACTGCCTCCATCCCATACACTATAGAAACACACAATAATAAATATAAACTCATTTTAAAAAATAAAACTAAGCCAGGCATGGTAGCACACACCTTTGGTCCCAGCACTCACGAGACAGATGGTTCTCTTTGTCAACATAGTGAGTTCCAGGCCAGAGAGGCCCTGCCTCAGAAAACAACAACAAAAACAAAATAGAAAACAAAAAGTTACTAGTAAGATCTAATCCTTTGTTAAAATTTTTGTTAAAAATGACTGTGTCAGCCAGGCAAGGTGGTGCACGCCTTTAATCCCAGCATTCGGGAGGCAGAGGCAGGCGGATCTCTGTGAGTTCAAGGCCAGCCTGGTCTACATAGTGAGTTCCAGGACAGCTGGGGCTACAGGGAGACCCTGTCTCAAAAAGACCCCCCCCCAAAAAAAAAAGATTGTGTCAACCCAGCATTTGAGAGGCAGAGGCAGGTGGATCTCTGAGTTTGAGGCCAGCCTGGTCTACACAGCAACTTCCAGGCTAGCTAAGGCTACAGGGATACCATATCTCAAAAAGAAAAAAAAAAAAAAATGAAGCAGAGCATTAAACTTTTTTTTTAAGCTTTTAAATGTATTTATTTATTTTGTGTATATGTGCATGGTACACGTGTGGAGCAGAGGTCAGAGAACAAGCGTGGGAGTCAGTTCTCTCTTTTTATCATGTGAAACTCAGGTCGTCAGGCTTGGCAGCAAGCACCCTTACTCACTAAGCCATCTTGCTGGTCATCTAACCTAATCCTTTTTCTAGCAAGCTGTGTTGGCGCATGCCTATAATCCTAACACTCATAGTAAGAACTCTGTCTCAAACTCTCTCTCTCTCTCTCTCTCTCTCTCTCTCTCTCTCTCTCTCACACACACACACACACACACACACGGTCTCACAAAACAAACAAAAAGCAAAGAGATTTCCTAAAGAGGATTATGGTATAAACAGCTACCTTATCATTTTATACAGAAACCTATAAACTTGAGGTGAACAAAGGAGGGGCTGGAGAGATGGTTCAATGGTCAAAAGCATAGGCTGCTCTTGGAGAGGACCTGGGTTCTGTTCCCAGCACACATATGGAAACTAACAACTGTTCTTAACTCCAGTTCCAGGGGGTCTTAAGCCCTCTCCTGGCCTCTGTGAGCACTGCCTGACACTGGTACACTTACACGGCAGGCAAAACGCTCACACTTAAGATAAAAATAAAAATTTTTAAAGAATCTCTTTATGAAGTGAAAAAAGAGGAACAATTTAAAATTTTTATTCACAAACTATAAAAATGTATATACTCGAGTCCATCTTATATTTGTGAAGCACTTTACACACTTGTTAGTAAACTTTAAAGCTCTTCTGAAAGCCATGGAGAGCCCTACAACATAATGGGCTGACTAATTCTGACATCTCTCATTGCCAAAAGAACAAAAGCAGCTCTACCTCTAAAAATG